TTTTAACGTTTGACAATGTATATGATAGATACATATTTTAGTTATTTTAATGTGTGAACATGGCATGCAATGAACTGGTTTGACGTGGATAAGTAAGCACCTGAAGATGGCATTATTATGCCGAAACATGTAGTGCGAGGGAGAGAAGGAGTTAAATGAGTGTATGCACTGCAAGACGGATTAAATAAATCATGGACTTAAATCAGTGCAACAGGACGCTAAAATATAACATAAGTCTTCACTGGCTTACTTCTCAGTTATCGTGCACTATCACAGATTATCACATCAAATCTTCTAACCACATTTTTGCGTCTTCTTCCCACGACTGCTGCTATATTTCAACTAACTGGTTCAATAAACACTCACTAATCACTAACTACTCATTAACTAATCACTCACTACTGAATAGTGTTCGCTGCTCCATGCTGAGCCTGAATAAGGAGCAGCGAACACTATTCAGTAGTGAGTGATTAGGAAGTGTTTATTGAACCAGTTACTAGAGGAGAATAACCAGTTGGTTGAAATATAGCAGCAGTCGTGGGAAGAAGACCCGAAAACGTGGTTAGAAGATTTGATACGTGATAGGTACCATTGTTGCCTGACGCCGTGTTTACAGGTGTTGCTAGCAATGCTGTCAGGAGTTGTTTACGGCTGGATAGTAACCATGGTATTCCTTTGTGACACCGTGTTTACCGGTGTTGCTAGCAATGCTGTCGAGAGTTGTCTCCTGCTGTGTAGTAACCATGGTATCCCTTGATAACAACACAGCCGGTCCTCTGCCATGTCACCGCTGGGGAGGGGGGGCACCCACCGAGTGTTACGTACTGGTGGAAGGAGTCGGAGTATGTGATGTCACTTGTGAGACCACAGAGTTCACATGACCACCACTTCCCGCCGTGCCATCCATGACACAATATATATCATCATAACTGGCAAATTGCCTTTTTGAGCCACACCCTGCCTTAGTAGATTCTGCCAGACTTATCTATTCCGTCGGATTTTGCGGTAGTAGCTAAGGTTGTCAGCCTTGCATCCAACACCCAACCTAGAAGACCAGGACACTGTACATCACACGATGACAGGGTCGTCCATTTATACCCCCAGACACCAGGTTCCTTTTCATCGCCTTCTACAACCTGCAGAGCTATGGTGGAGGTATTCTAACCGGACTAAACATATGCACACACATGCATACATACATCAATTCAAGAATGATAGTCCATTTGATTAAATAAAAGAATACCGATTAGGAGGCAGTCAAATAAGCACCTATTTATTTAGAAGGACCCTATTCTATGGCTGAGTAAGTCCATGGAATTGTCATTCCCTGTTTCCTGCTTTAATGAACAATGTATATCTTATATAGTGAAACTGTTATTTTAGGTCTGTTTGGGAAGAATTGTAATTGGATAATAACCTGAGGAAAATTCTGAAGTAAGAAAAATTGACACTGAGATTAGTGACTTGGGAGTAATGAAACTAAAGACTAAATGAGGGAAAAACTTACATCAAGAAACACCAAATGTGGATTCCACTGTACAGAGAGCCATGTTTTGTAGTAACTTCTTTATATTATAAATTACAAGGAAGATCCTTACTTTCTTTGTGCTTCAGTAATGACCTTTGGATCATCTGAAGCCAGATACACCCTCCGTCTATCCACTTTCTGCTTCATTTCTAGAAGATTGTAGTACTCATCCACCGCAGCCATGTACTCCTCTAAGGAGTGGAATGCTGCCTCCGTTCCAACTTTGTCTGTTCTCCTGATGTGTACCCTGGAAACATATACATGTCCAACTAAATAACCAGACTAACATCTATGTGATCCATCCTGAGGACAACTGGACAAGCCAGTGAGTTGACAGTCATGGCTAGGATGACATGAGTTGCAGTTACAGCAATGAGTGTGAGCCAGTCACCAGCCAGCAAGGACATGAGTATGGAAGCAAAGGAATATTTGTTATTAGGAGCAGTTACCAAGCAATGACTAGTGAAGACATATAAAACTCTGTGTGTGCTGTAGTTCAATGTGTAAATCAGTGAGACGATTTTAGTTACTCGTAGTTATGAGCTACACAGTGTGTCCAGGTTCTGTTAGGACTGTGTTCATTAAAAATACAAGACATGAATTATTTTCAAAATTTCACTCTTTTTATTCAAAATAGTCTCCTTATGAATCAATACATAGCTGGAATAGATTGGAAAGTTTTTGAAAACAGTCACTGTACTCCTTTTGTGGAATCGCATTTAAAACTGCTGTACATTCCCTTTGGAGGTTCTGGATGGTGTTGTGTCTCCTTTCATCTCCCACTTAACTTTTGGGAACAACCAGAAATCTGCTGGAGTCAAATCTGGCAATACGGAGGATGATCAAGGACTGTGATCCCTTTTCTGGCCAAAAAATCGTGCACGATCTTAGATTTGTGGGGTGGGGCATTGTTGTGGAGGAGTGACCAGAAACCTTGCTCTCGATATTCAGGTCAAATTCGAAGAATTCTCGCCCACAAACGATTGAGGACTCTGATATAATAATCAGAATTCACTGTTTGACCTTCTGGCAGGAATTCCTTGTGAATCATTCCTCTGGAATCAAAGAAAACAGTTAGCAGTGTCTTTACTCGACTCTTTTGCATTCGCACTTTCTTTGGTTTTGGCTTCTTTGGGGTCAACCACTCTGCACTCTGCCACTTTGTGAGAGGCTCATATTGAAAACACCATGTCTCGCCACCAGTAACAATCGATTTTGTAAATTTTGTATCACTTTGGGTCAACTGTCTTTGCAGTGTTTCACTCTGGCATATTTTTCATTGCCTGACAGCACGTGCGGTACAAACCATGCACAGAACTTCCGTTTGCCCAAATCCTTGGTCAAAATTTAATGAACAGTACTTTTTGGTATTCCCAAAAGCTCCTCAATGAGTCTTGCAGAAACACATCTGTCTGATACAAGGAGTTTGGTCACTTTTTTCACATTTTCTCCAGAGCGACCTGTTCCCGGCTCTGATGCATGTGGAGCGTCTTCAATGTCCCTGCCGTCATGAAATACAGCATACCATCAAAAAATGTTTGAGAGACTCAAACAATCACTACTGTACACACTTTTCACCATTTTGTATGCTTCTCTGGCTGTTTTGCCTAACTTCAAACAAAATTTGAGTTTAGCTCTCTGTTCAACGTCATTTTCCGACGAGCGTCAAAACAGTACTGTTACATTCAAGGTCAGAATACATGCTGCAGCGATGCTTGTGCTTTGAAATTATAGACGGCCACAGCTGAAACTTCAAGAATCTTAATGCCACGACTGGCCAACAGATGGCATTGCAGGGTAAAATTAAAAAAATGTTTCCTAACGGATCGTGGACACACCATGTATAAGTGTTCAACAAATCCAATTTTCAGTCCAAACCCCATGTTTAGTAACTGACATATGACACAATGTATGTATACTACCACAGTCAATAAGTTCGCTGAATGGCTGCAAAACATCGTTGCAGTGCACTACAGCGGACCACATTCCATGAACTTAATGACTCTACCACGTACGATGGGGTACCCAAAAGAAACTGAACTAATTTTTTTGTGGGCAGAGCTTTTGTAGTACCGCATTTTGCCGCTATGAGCGCATAGAGCTAACATTCCTGAGTCGATAAGCCGACTACCGTTGCTTCAGAAGGTAAGGACTAGTTTCGGCAGAGTTTATAGTGACAACTGTTTTGTGTGATCGTCGTTTTTGCAATGGCTGATTTTCGTGAACAGCGTGCGACGGTGAAATTCTGCTTTTTGCTCGGGAAAAGTGGAACAGAAACTCTTGAAATGTTAAAAACGGCGTACAAGGACGATGCTATGGGGAAAACTCAAGTGTTTGAGTGGTTTTACCGTTTCAAAAATGGTGAAATGTCAATTGATGACAAACCTCGTTCTGGTCGTCCTTCCACGGCCCGAACACATGAAAATGTTGAAAAAATTCGTGAAATCATCAAGGAAGATCGACGACGGCCCATTGAAGAAATTGTGGAGCTGTCGGGAGTGACTTTGAGCTCAGCGGCCAGATTTGTGGCAGTCGGGTGACTGGTTTTTCCATCATGACAATGCCCCTGCTCACACAACCCTGTCTGTATGACAATTCTTGACCAAAAATGGTATGACCCCTGTTCCTCACCCTCCATACTCACCCGACCTTGCCCCGTGCGACTTTTTTTTTGTTTCCTCAAATGAAAAGAGACATGAAAGGAAAAAACGACAGAGGCGCTGTCAAGCATCTCAAAAGATGAATTTAGACAATGTTTTGAAAAATGGAATAAAAGACTAGACAAGTGTATTAATGTAAATGGAGAGTACTTTGAAGGGGATCGAAGGTTTGAGCTTAAAATTTGAATAAATAAGTTTAAAAAAAAAAAAAAGCTTGGTTTCTTTTGGGTACCCCCTCGTATATAACCTTCAGCAAGTGTGGCAAAGGTCTTCTTAAGCTATCAGCCTGCCAATGAGGGGTTAGTATCCAATGCTTCTAAGACCGTCTCCATCTCTATCATTAGGGATTGATGAGGAAGTTGTTGACACTCTCCAACACAATGGATACTAACACCATACTGACACAGCTGATCGTCCTAGAAGACTTCACTGCATACAGCTGCTGTGAAAGATTTAAAACACATAAAGTGTGATAAATATTAAAAGCACTTGCAAGGTCACAGGTTCCCATGGCAGTGACTACTAAGGTTATACTGTCTTCTGGGATGCGATGCAACGCAGCCTGGCTGATCATTACCAATGTTTCAGAGGAATCTACTGCCTGCTTCAATCTTCAGGGTATAAAAGATGAAGATGGAGGTGCAGGTTCCTCCAAAATGTTAACAACAATCTACCACACTAACAACTTCACATCTCAAAAGTAAGTACCTTGCCTTTTGAATTTATGCAAGCATTCCAAAGTATCTGTCATGCATGGAAACAATGCTGGAAATCATGTTCAGAAAGACCTTTCAATATTATCATCACAATTAGGAAGTTTTCAATGAACCCTCCACCCACCCAAATGAGACCAAGTGGATTTCGTTTTGTAAATATGAAACATCACAGAAGACATCAGGTGAATATGGTAGCTGTTTCAATATTAATATAAGGTGGTTCAAATATGACCGGGACTGATCTCTGTGTAAACAAGCCGCACTGCGCAGCAGCTGTGTGACCTTGAGAGAGTGAAGCCACAACCTCCACACTCCTTCCTGTTCGGGTTAGAACCTGTTCAGTCCTGTCTGGGAGTGGCTAGAGTAATGAGCGAACAGAAGGATACCGCGAGCGTGGAACAACACATTGAGACTAGGTGCATCACTATCAAGGAACTTGGAGCAATGCTGTCCATCAGTGTTGGTAGTGTAGAAGACATCATGAAATACCACTTGCACTATTGCAAGGTGAATGCACAGTGGGTACCATGCACTTTGACGGAAGTGAACAAAATGGTGCACATGCAAGCTGCCAGTAGTCTACTACAGTAGTTTGAAGATGAAGGTGATGCATTTTTGAAGTCTATAGTGATCACCGATGAAACGTGGGTGCACTACTTCATTCCCGAGTCCCAGCAGTCATCACGTGAGTGGCGGCATACCAGTTCTCCCAAACTTAAGAGAGCACGGAGGACCCGTTCGCTAGGAAAAGAGATGGCAACGTTCTTCTGGGACTGGCAGGGGGTTATCCATGTAGACTTTCTGACAGATGCCAGAACAGTCAATGCAGCTTATTACTCAGACCTCCTGGCAACAGACGTGAAGGAAAAGATCCGATCCAAGCGGAAGACAGGTGGAAAGCGAGTAGCCTTCCTTCAAGACAATGCACGCACCCATATGGCCAAAACAACAATGAAGACCCTCCGGAAATTGAAATGGAACCCTCTGACACATCCTCCGTACAGTCCTGATTTGGCCCCAACTGACTTCTACCTGTTTGGAAGGCTCAAATCAGACTTGCAAGGCATGTAGTTTGTGGACGACGCCATCATCCAGACTGTTCGGGAGTGGATACGACGCCAACCACAAGACTTTTTTTTGAAAAGGGCATCAGGATGCTTCCAGAACGTTGGAAGAAATGTGCTGACTTGGGAGGGGAGTACGTTGAAGACTGACATGTGCAAGTAAGTGTTTGGCAATTATGGTTTAAAAAAAAATCAGTCCTGGTCATATTTGAACCACCTTGTATTTGTCTTTTGACCAAAAATCATCCAGAATTTTATTTCTTGTAAACAATAATGAGGATTTGTATCACTGCCAAAATCAAGAAATACTCAAATTAGATTCAACAGTACCTGCAGTTAACAATTATTCATATGCTACTCACCCTACAATAGGCCTCTTGAAACCAAGTTTGACTGATGCCTCTTGTATCATATTACTTGTTGCTTCTTGTGGTCGAAGAAGAAACTTGAGGAACTGACCGATCCACCAAACGATTGGATCACCATGCAACCGAGCCAACCTAGGAGCAAGATCTTTTGGGACAGCCAGAGGCAGATAAGGAGGTCGTGGAGATAAAGAATCCACAATTGGTAGTTCTACAACTTGAGTGTCAGGTCTACCTAAGGAACATTTAAGCACAAGAATGAGCTTTAAAGAAAAATATTATTCTAGCCTACATTATGGAAGAGCCTTACTACAATATATATCCCACTTCTAAATTAGAATTAAATGAACATCAATATCAGATTTGAGGTTTTCATGATGGTAATGATTTGAAAAGTGGTCTTCTGGGTTATGGTATCATTAGTCTAATAAGCGGGTAGTAATGTTCCATAGGAAACTGCTGCTTCCATCTTCATGGTACAAATGCAGAATGAGGCAGGAGGTTCCTCTAAAATCTTGGTAACCACTCACGACCACACAAGATCACAGTACAAATTAACATAGAACACATTCTTACTGCAACGTAGGGCAACAAAGATAAAATTACTTTCATTCATAAGTTGCAATAAAAATTTTGTAATTTATTTATCTAATTATATCTGTAACACTTCCATTATTAAAACAACCTTACATGCTAATGCACAGTAATTTTATTCCAATAAACCAAGTATTTACAATCAGATTATTTACCTGGCCAATGGCTATGTGTTCGCCCTGATGGGTCAGTACAGGTTCGACTAACCGGCAGAAATACTTCTTCCCAACCTGCCTTTCTGTAACGCCAACCTCGAGACTTAAGTATCAGAGTTCGTTCTGTACCATACGCTACAGTAAAGCAGTATACCAAATGGTGAAGTTGGCAACCATATCCACAGCCCTGAAACCCAGTACATTTAACTTATTCTTCCTGGAAAACTGGAAATGTTTGTTATTCTGTTCAGACACAGATGCTGCACTGTATACTTTCCAAAGAAACTTAAAAGTACAACAAAACTTCATCTTGCATACTCTGATTTTATGCTTTTCCAAATTTTATACACTTTTCAATGTCTTGCCAGTTATGATATAAGGAAACCCATATACCTTCTCACACTGCAGAATTTTAATTTTCTGAACTTACACCTTCTTTAAATTTTACTTTTATTTTAGGTGCTCATTTCTAAAGGGTAACATTGGGGCTTTACTGTACTATGCAACTTATTTTGCATGGCAATGAGATATGACCTTTAACCCTGTGTAAGAGTTGATCTCACACAGGTGGCTTTTAAGATTATTGTCCTCTTGCATGTGATACTGTACTTTGGTAGATATTTAACAATATTCCTGAGGAACCCTTTACTCCTATAACTTGAGGATGGAGGCATCAGGTTAATCAGCAACACGATGATACTCTAACAGACCACACAGCATAACACTGTAGATGACAGTACCCTCACATTAATCTGCAATGCTTAAAAAAACCACTGCTGAAGGAAAAGCTCAGACAGTAAAGAAATAGAGATGGAAGGGTATTCCTTACAAAAGTTAAGAGAATATTACATGGGCTGGAGAAACAATATATACAAAGTGCATAACTAAGCAGCCTCCGTAGTCTAGAGGTAACGTTCCCACCTCATGACTCGTAGTATGCGGGTTCAAATACCCGGTGGAGGTCATCGAATTTTTAAGGGTGGAAAAATTCAGGGAACAAGTCCTCCGGGAGGGACTTTAAGCCGTGGGTCCCGTGTCGTAGCTTTACGGCACGTAAAAGAACCTCATATCTCCAAAGGAGGTCACTGAGCCAAATTAACGGACGTTTCCCGCCCAACAGCAGTCTCTAATACCTCTGGTAGATGGGGGAAGCATTATAGATACCTTTCAGCTAGTAGAGCCGGTCTCGCTGGCTGGGCGGGACTGATGGTAAGCACCAGTACCGGTAGGATATAGAGACTGATAGAAATCATAGAGGGAAGCACAAGGGACCAATACAGGTCTCAGTGCATGGGGAAACTCACCCTCTCCAATAACCAACTAACTAACTAAGTGCATAACTAAAATATTACAAGAAAACAAACACTTCCAAGGTTAAGAACTTGGGAGGATAATATTAAAACAGAGTAATGTGGTTCAGGAACAGATGTTAGTGACTGGAATGGACCATGATGTTAAGTTACTTATCCAGTTCTAAATTGTTCTCAGTAAGTCACACAACTCCCATCACCTTGTTCAGATTACAGACTAACTTCCTTGCTGAACCACAGTCTTCAGGATTCTGTAGGTAATCAAGTCGTCGCTGTACTAAGTCACTCAGATCACTAGCTTCCTTTTCTCGCCAAGCTGCATATCCATCTACTTCCATTAATGTGTCTATATCTGTCATCAATGACCTAAACATAAGAGTGTAAATATTCAACACTGTCTGGTGTGTCTTTCTTAGGGCCTGGCCACAGTATTAATATTATTCCACCTGATATATATGTACACAAACACAGTCTTCAGTGAAGCTTTCTGCGCAGTTCCCGGTTAAATCATTCCTATTTCATGTCTTTCTACTATATGACATGTTTTGGTCTCATAAGGACCATCGTCAGGCGTGTATCCTGTTACATGTGATGTGTTACACTTCCAGCACACTGATCGTATGGTGCATACTAAATTCTTTACTCATGCACAAACTAATTATTTTTACCATCCTCAAAATTTAGCCCACAGTTCACAAACACATGCAAGCGACACAAATACACATACCAGGATGTACACAGGTACACAACACCAATAAATAAATACACAACATTATGAGAGGTGACACACCAAATTGCCTTTCAATTTTTAAATTCTCAGGACAGTAAAAATAATTTGGTTATGCAAGAGTAACAAATTTAATATACACCATACAATCAGTGTGCCAGCAGTGTAACACTATACACACCTGATGACGGTCCTTTTGGGACTGAAACATGTCCTGTAGTAGTGGAAGCAGGACATTAATTACGAGTTCTTATACCAGAAACCATACAGAAAGCTGCACTGAAGACTGTGTTTGTGTACACACACACACACACACACACATATATATATATATATATATCTCGAGTGATAGAATAGTGCAGCAGGATGATAAAATATGTTATTCCAGCAACAAATGAAATGAAATTCTGAGAAAAACTCACTCCATAGATTTTTCTTAAAATGTTTCATGGTGGGGCTAGAAGGAACTATAATGGTCAGTCCTATGGCCCTGGGGTCGACTCAGCCTCTAACAGAAATGAGTACCAGGAATTAATTAAATAATTTTCCTGGGGAGTAAAGTGCTGCCGGCACATAAGGCTGACAACCTTACTGCCATCTTTGAGCCAACTGTCTAGATTATGTGGGAGTCTCGACGTCTCACAACCCTATGGGCCTCCAAGGCCTGTTAAAGGGATAGCTTTACTTTTTTTTACTTTATAACGGTCAGTCACTTCAGCAATTAAACTATGGGCCGGACACCTGAATCCATGCACAGGCAAAAACCATTTCTATTTCCCAGTGTCTAAAACAGTTCTGGGGACCATCCAGCCTTCTACTCAATGGATGCTAGAGGTTCTTCCACCAAAGATGAAACAGCCTGGGAGTGCTGCAAACCACTCGCCTTAATTCAGTGGTTATGAATGTGTGTGGAGCTATACCTCCACTCTCCCATACTGTCACTTGGGTAGTGAAGTGTATTACTCTCATAAACATCAGTTTTTGGGAATTTGGGTTTGAATTATGGCATCAATAACAGTTTAAGTGTGAAACAAAAGACATTCTAAAATCTCACACCTGTAAGGTAAACTTATGGAAGTATCTGGAGGTACAGTGACACAATACAGAGAATCAGAAAAGTGCATTATCTTATTTTTGCCCAAAAGTAGAGATGTAATATACCAATATTCAGGCAATGACATGTCTTCATGGTATGGTATATAATTAAGAATGGCAACATCATCATCTTTATTATTCAGTAATCTACATCCACAAGTGTGAGCCGGGGTAGCACAGTCGGTATAGCGACTGCCTATGGGCTGGAAGACTGAGGGGTCTGAGTTCTAGTCCCAGTATGGTCAGAATTTTCTCTTCTCCATATTGTCCAGACTTGCACTGGGGCCTACCCAGCGTCCTATCCAATGGGTACCATGGGCGCTTTCCCTGGGGGTAAAGCAGCAGGGGAGTGAAGCTGACCACTCACCTCCTGCTTGTGCTGAGGTCAAGAAAATATGGATCTATACATCCACTCACCATACATCTTCATGGTGTAGTGCTTAATTAGTTAAGCACAGACAAATTTACTCTTTTTACATCCACAAGTACATAACCTGACTGTGTTAAATTTATGATATATGCTAAACGTTTTGCACCATTGTCATATAAACAATATTTCACTGAAATTAAGCAGATATGTTTATGTCCTATCTCTATAAAAAATTTCATGTACAGAGTCTGAATTGTTCATTCATTACTTTCACTGAACCAAGATATAAACCTACATCTCATGCTGCCATCATGTTGTTCTCAGTTCTACAACGGGAAATCTGCCTCATCAAAAGGTGCACATTCTTCAAAGATGCACCACTATGCAAAATTTCAGGACTCAAACATGAAGTAGCCCTCCTCTCACCTCAGAACTCTGCATGGCCACCATGCTGTTATTAACAGTGGTAGGAAATTAAAAGTACAAATTGGGATGGCCTCCATGGCTTGATGATCTCACAAAGTTCCATGGGAATCTGTCACTTGCTTCAAAAAGTATCTGGTGAGTACCTGAATAAATTCATCAATTGAGAAGCCACAAACTCCAAGCCTGAGCATAATCTGCAATTTTAGAAACTATAACAACTACTGGATAAGATATGAAGTTTCTGTGATAGTGGAAATTAAGATTATGGTCATTTGAGTTATCCCTGAAACGCTGCTAATCACTTATGAAACTACAGAGTGCGCTCTTTCTATGACAAATGTTATGTATTATTTGAAATTTACAACTGGTTAGTATAGGGATATTATAAAGAACTGAACACCTTCAGAAATCTCATTTAATTTACTAAATGAGACAAAAACTGAAGTCACATTGCTGGAAACACTAACTCAAAAAGTTTCTTTTATCAGTCTGTAAGTGTGCAATGTGAGCTCTACCAGTAATCCTGCACTTTCAAAAGATGTCAACTTTTTCCCCTTCCTTTTGTAATGTATCTGTGACAATGGGAGATAGCTCAGTCAGTATACCAATGGGTTGGATGGCCAGGGTTTCATTCCTGGCAGGGCATGATTTTTCTCTTCTCCATAACTTCCAGATGGGCTCTGGGGCACATCCAGGTTCCTATCCAGTGGGTACCAGGGGCTGTTTCTATGGGGGTAGAGTGGCAGGGGCATGAAGCTGACCATTCACTTCTATCTTGCACCAAGGTCAAGAATGATGGAGCTATATCTCCACTCCCCCCATATGTGTTAATGGTGTGGTGATTAATTAATTAGGCAAAGGGACAACTTTACCTTTATTTGTGACAATAGACTCCACAGCTTGACAAATCCTGTCATTGAGTTCCTGAAGACTTCCTGGCAGAGGCTAGACATAAACTGATCTTTAACTTGGTTCCAGTAAGACTAAGTCCATAGGTATGAGATTGGGCAATCTAAGAGACCACACATCTGGACTTCCATGACCAATCCAATGTCCAGGAACCTTGTCATTTAGAATCTATTTACTACATTGTTATACTGTGACAAATCTGATTTCCTCTTAGTGGACCATTATTTGTTCCTAAATAAAGGCTGAACAGATGTGGCTCACTTTGTCTCCACACACCACAGAACACATCATGTCTTTTCCACTTGGTTCACCAGTTTAATTGTTCATGTCTGAAGCGTTCCTAATGGTGACTTCATGAACTTTATATGTTAATAGGTGCATAAAAAAACTTTTTTAGTCCCTGCTTCCAAAAAATGTAACATGTAAATGTTTTGTATGTGGGTTAGTTTACTCACAATAAATTAAAATGTTTTTAAAACATTCAGTCCTTTTGTAATATGCCTGTAGAGCAATCAATCAAAGAATTAATTTTCTTGTTTATGATCACCTCTTATGGACAACACCTTCCTCAAGCACCCGAGTGATTCTTGTAGCAAGTTGTGGAGATAGTGCCAGTGCTTGTTTCTGCATCTTTTTCAATTCCCCACTGGCAAAGTACCACATTTCCTGGACTCCATTTAAAATTTTGCGTCTCATCTGCTCATACTGAATGCTCGGTTCCTCACGGGGTTCTGAAAAATTATACTGTACATTAAGGTACCATTCTTCACATGAAAAAGGAAACATGATTTGATCTCAAATTCTAGACAGCAATTTACTGCATACTGTTATTCTTTTAAGTTTATTTTAGAATAAATTTACTTGCAAAACATATCAAGGTTAGGTGTTATGGACAAAGCATGTCTTTATAAGCAAATAATGTTGCACATGCACAAAAAATTGTTCTTTATGAACTGATCTTATACTTCGCCTTTAGTGATGATGTTGATAACCACAATCATTTCATGTTGGATTTGAAGTTCTCATAGTAGTGACTATGGAAAATTTTCTCTCTGTGATATAATGCCAATGCAGTCTTGTAAAAGTCAACCAAGGTTTCAGGGGAACATATTGCTTCTGCTTGCTGCCTGATGCACACTGGTTTCATGCTTGGCTCATTCTTTGACCCTGAAGATGGAAGCAATATGTTTCTCAAAAATGTTGGTTGAGTTCTACTGGACTACACAGCGTTATATCCCAGAAGAGAGAATTCTTCAATACAATACACAGTTTATACTTACCAATTCCGCCAAATTTTTCAGTGTCATGAGATGGTTCCAACAATTTTTCTGCTTTTGACAGTTTTTTCTGCAAATCCTGAAACAATGCATCCCTCTGCTCTTGTCTCAGAGATGGGTCTCTGCAAGCACAAAAGCAATTAATATACAGTGTGACCAACTGGGAGCTTCCAGCATTCAGCTGTCTAGGCAGAAAAGTTGGATACACATGGCTTAACAATATGCAGATACACACTCTGTGGAAACACCATTCTCAGTGCTCACTTCACTCATCACCAGGGCTTCATAAACAATCAATGCCAGGTCACCATGGCACAAAGTAGCTTCTGGAGTGTTGCTCCACAGTTTTTGTATATTTCAGAATTCACAGCATGTAGAAACACTTGCTCTGTTTGTTAACAATAAATTCAGTACATTATTTCATTCAGCTAACATGACAGTTTTTCCCATTATCCCTCTTTCAAAACTGTAAATGTGAAGTCTTCTCATGACTGTAAGTGGAGAACAGAGTTTACCCACAGTACAGACAGATGCAATCAGTTATTTGTCCTATAGAGTGGCCATGAAAAAATCACATGGGATTGATTCTCCCCATTTCTCCCTTGAGCTGTTGCACTCTCCCTCCAGCATATGAAACACATAAGCAACTACCAGCTTATAGGCTGACACAAAGCATTATTTCAACCAGGAAGAGAACCATTACTTACCCAACACTAATATCTGTAAAGAGGTTTCTGAGTTCAGTGTTCTGTCTCTTGAGAACTTCCAGGTCATGAAATGCACGTGCCAAGCGCTGAGTTGTGCGGGAATCTGGTTCAGGTGATGAAGGCACCCGGAATACAGGTGACGCAGCAAACAGCACCAACACCAACAACCAAATCACCAACAACACTAACAGTGCACGTCCCCAACCCACCTGCCGCACTAACTTCATGACCTCATACCACTCTAAAAAAATACGTACAGTTAAATTGTATAATACAGTTTGCGATGCATACCACGTGTTCTGGAGGGGCTACTGGCTCTACAGTGGCCCTTCCCAGTTAGGTTACAAACATCAAAACAAGCTCTAACCACACGTATAAACGTACTAATGTTTAACGATGTAAGGAGCTTTCAATTTCAAATATTTCATACAGTCGTTTCTTCTGGTCGTGGTTGCAACTTCTGTATCCTATATCTAACATACTGGCAGTTCTGTAAGCAACCAAACAGTAACAATGCAACTTCTTGCGCAAGGTTTCCATTATTCCTATTTGTTCTCCGTCACGCTCCTAATACAACTAAAATGGAAAGGGTGCATGGTGTGCATACACATTTAAAATCATTACTCACCTAAGCTGTACACGTCGTTCCCAGAATCATCACTGCCGGTATTACACTGAAGATTACAAAAGTAACAACTCACATTTCATTGCCAAAATTGCTCATTCATTAATTCATTATAGTGACAAACGAACACGAAAAATATTTACTCAAAATTATTTCAAGAGGGATCCTTCATGCCCTTCAGTACAATCAAATATCCCTTGTGATACCAACAATTGCGTCAATAAACCCTAACTATACTTCTAACCACTTTAACCCCTTCAAATAATCGCTCTACATATTGCATTTACGCATAGGACTCCTACAAATGGTAACGCATTTTATTCTTTTTTGTATAAAAGAATACTTTTAAAACAAGCGTACTAATTTCATAACACTATTACGACGGCAATTACTGTTATACAATTTAATATCAACACACTTTATACAGACGTAATCAATATTACAGGGCACGAAGAATATTTAATGTATCAGAACAAAAACATCCGTGTTCTAATTGTCTGTCACGGTCTTTATCGGTCTTCATACTTCACACCGTGCATACTACGACCATTCTTCTGTCACAACCGGTCACAACAGCGGTGGCAGCTGTGGAGCCTGTGGCAGTAGTATCCCGTATTCGATAGTTACTTCGATTATGCGAAAGTGATCTCGTGCTGACATCTCTTAGGAAATGTCATATAATCCTAAAGTAAAACGGTGAGAGCACACCAAAGAAACTGGCAACCGCAATTTCCGAGAACTGTTATTGGCCTTGAGTTGAACACATGTTACTTAAGGGAGCAGCGGAAATTGAGGAAACGGCAGCGCAGTTTCCTCAATTCGCGTTGCACTTTTCAGTAACACGTGTTCAACTCAAGGCTGATAACAGTTCTCGGAAATTGCGGTTGCGTTGCGGTTGCCAGTTTCCTAAATGTCTCATCTTTCCCTCCATCGATTTCATGTTACAAACCTAACGGAGGGCATAGACAAGCCCTTAAGCTAATGCGTATTTTTTAAACCACTTACCCAATGGTAATGGGTTAAGACGAGGTTTTAGCTCAATATTGTAAGAGTACATGACGTGTATTTTTGCTAACCGTCTTACAGTGCACACAATTTCACCTTTCTCTTCACTTTTACACTACATGTTTCGGCACTAATGTGCCATTTTCAGGTGTGTCTCTATCCACGCCAAACTACTGTACTGCATGCCATTACTTCTCCATCATAAAATGACTAAAATGCGTATTCGTCATATATAACAACAAATTCTAAATACTAAAACCTTTCAGGATTCGTCATCCATACGTCGTACGTCAAATACGAGAGTCACGCCAGTCCTCCTCTATGGGAGCACTCTTCCTACATTCATGTGTGCTCTGTGTTGTGTTGTGATGCACGTAGTCACAAGAGGACACAACACAGAGCACAATATACACATGAATGTAGGAAGAGTGCTCCCATAGAGGAGGATTGGCGTGACTCGCTATTTGAGATACGACGTATGGATGACGAATCCTGAAAGGTGTTAGTATTTAGAATTTGTCGTTATACATGACGAATACGCATTTTAGTCATTTTATGATGGAGAAGTGATGGCATGCAGTACAGTAGTTTGGCGTGGATAGAGACACACCTGAAGATGGCACATTAGTGCCGAAACATGTAGTCTAAAAGTGAAGAGAAAGGTGAAATTGTGTGCACTGTAAGACGGTTAGCAAAAATACACATCATGGAAATGAATCAGTGCAACAGGACGCTAAAATATATCATTGTAAGAGTAGTTACACCATGGTATTCGAGGTAAAGATTTATAAAATTCACCAGTTCCCCAAAAGTTCAGACTGGCATTGGCATTCTTTATACAAAATACAGCTATAAACGTCTTTTGTAACTCATTACAGCCAGTATGTGCAGAAGTGACGATGTGGTATGGTAAGCTGGACTGTTACAATTTTGAACTTATTTAGTACTCATAGTTCACATATAAAATATTATCAGTCTCTGACAAGGGCTACTTGATCTGGCATTGTCTACACTAATTGTCTAATTTCCGAAAGCCACATTAATATGTGTCATTAACTACACATGTTCAAAGTCTGGCACTGATTTTCCCGCTTTTCGAGCTGGAAAGGATTGAATATTAATGCACGCACACAGCAAAGGATCAGGGGTAACTTATACGTACTTATGTATGAACCCTGAATTGGCAAACAAGTTCCTACGAAACAGAAATCGAAACGAAATTTAAAGTGCAGAATAGAATATAACTTACATTAAAGCGAATTAGTTTCTTCAATTACATTCTGGATTCATCTTTAATCTCCTACGTAGACCGTGTCCTTTTATTGGGGGAAATAATAATTTTCACTCTCTTTCTTTGGGAGTAGAGAAATTACCTGACAAATATGTTTCCCTTTAATCTAAGTTCACTTTTAGACAGATATAGTAGACTATTATTTAAGTTACTGCGAATAATTACGCGACACTCAGAAATCTGGTTTACTGCCTCATGCAGTCCACTTCTGACACGTAACATTTTCACGTTATGCGAAATAAAAAAAAGTGTGGACTTTCTGCGGTCTTTTCCTCATGATAAGGAAAACGGCCACAGTCGGGTGCGTTATGAGTGATAAAGAGCAGAGGGTTTTAAACATAAACATTGCTACAGTAAGATAATTGTCATGAATACAAATAGAACAGAACTCAGAATACACAATCACCATTATCTTATCCTCAGTTTATGGTATAAAGAGGGTTTGTAGGAACTAGGTTCTTAAATCATATTTCGGGGAAATATATTAATTACCGTACTCAAATATGATCTTAATAGCAGAATGTCGTGGTCTCCTGTTTCATATTTGTGAGGTCCGCGGATCGAACCTCTACCTGGAGACCAACTATATCCAGGGATATTTTGGAATAGTGTTTCAAATTAAGACACGGTTCCTTATTTCCAGGTAATTTCCAGTTCATTAATCACTATTCTGCTTACCACTGGATGATATATTAGCTACTGAAGCACTGTTAAAAATGAAGAGTAAATAAATATATTCTGCATAGAAATACAGTACATGCAGGACACAGTAAATAAGACTTCAAAGACTATACTAATCAATCCTGGGAAAAGTAAACGTGAAAAGTAAGAGAAACGGACATTGTGTCAAAACATTTTTTTTCCTCTTACCGACATCAATGGGTTTAGTTAGAAATATAGATTGTCCTTTGACTCAGCTATGCTATTATTAACGTTTCTCAAAATCATCTTTCCTTCTCTACTTTTCTTGCAACAAATTTTATTTTCCACGAATTAAATATGAAATGCTGACAAAGTGTAACTGTTTCCTCAATATTACGATAAGCCAAATAACTTACCTCAATGACATTTTATAGCTTCGTCTTATATTCACGATTTTACTCGTAATATTTATTAACACAGTTACATAAAAACAACTTTGGCATTTCAGCCACTCCTGCAATTTGGAACGAATGTATCATTTTATCTTCCAAATTTATATCAAATATTCACAGCCAGAAAAAGAAATGAACAGAGCTTAAAAGTGACAAATAGTATTGGCTAGCGATGCAGACTTATCTTACTTGTATATCTGTGTGTAATATCTATTGGAAATATACTCTAAGGAGATTACATACAGAGAGTGTGCTAACGAGAGTGTTATGGAGCGGATAGCAAAGTGAAGACTCTCATGGATCTTAAAAATTATAGGGAAACAGTAAAAATATATAATATAGAAACAAGTGTAGATATTATTAAAATGTTTCATAAGAATTTCTTTATTACTTATTTATCACTTTTTTATGTAAGTGCACAACAGCCAAAACATCAAGAAGAGAAATGAACTCTATCTGAAGAGAATTTTTACGGAAGCAGTTATAGAAAAAACAGCATACACTTCCATTTTGGAGAGTTTTTGTGGTTCATGTCATAAATCCTTGAAAGCTTCCACGTGGTTACGGCTCAGGAGATGAGAAAAACGTGGGGCCAAAGAAATGAAGCTGTCAGGAAGAAACTTGAAATACAAGAGCAACAAGTAAGTATGGTACTAGTCCCATTAATTGAAAAGAAATTGCTTCTCTTATGTTCTGCTGAAATATATGTTTCGTTTTCATCCACCGTTCCTTTATGTAAGCGAAGGAAGTATACATACACGAGATGATCGTGCTGTTTGTAGTCTTGGATATCGTTGCTTTTCTGAAAGCTATCGTAATATGAATTGATATCATTAGAGACGACTCGAGCCCCGCAATTTGTAATTTTTTACAATTGAGAACAACATGGTCGGTGCGTAAAAGTTTTGCGTTGGAAGCGCACCTAGCGCCAAGCAATATGGAGTTATGAAACAATATTTTAGCAATAAACGTAAATTTGTCCTTGTGTTTAATTAATTAAGCACATCGTCATGAAGACATAGGAGAATGGAAATATATATTTACTGTGTAAGATTTGAGGCTTTCACGGCGATGACTATGAAGAAAGCAGTCTTCTGGGATTTGGCACCGTGTATATGTGGTGTTAACCGACGTTTCGGGGGAACGTATCGCCTCCTTCTACCCTGAAGATGGAGGCGATAAGTTCCCCCGAAACGTTGGTTAACACCACATATACACGGTGCCAAATCCCAGAAGACTGCTTTCTTGATATATTTACTGTCTGCATCCTGTTGTGTATCATGATTTATGGTATTAAAAATATTTTTACAGCTTCGCAATAGTTACATTTATTATATGATTAAAATTATTAACATTAACATGGATTCATATTAGGATATTTCAATAACAAGAGACATATTTCATGAAACTGCTTGAAGATGGTCCCAAATGTGGACGAAAATATGTAGCAGTTATTAAATAAAAACAACGCAAACAATTCGAGTGGGACACTTCTTATTGTTGTGTTGACGGCCAGAATACCAGAAAAGAATGGAGATATAGCTCGAGACATTTTTAATCTTAGCAACAGATGAGGGTGCGCGGTCAGATTTACGCCCCCTTCACTTTAACCTCTGGGTATACAGCCCCGGCACACTTTGTACAGGAGGCTGGTTGTGCCAGCCCGCGGTCAGGCAGTTATGCCGACCGAGATATCATATCATAGAACGCAGAGAAATATTTAACTTTTGTTGAGGTCATATTCTGTGGAATAATAAAAAACAAAATGGAGACTGAATGAAATTTGTATTTATCTTCCGGTTTCATGGATATAACTAATTAACTACTGGAGATAGATATTTGAAATTTGGTAGGGGGTTTCCCTTTATATGTACCTAAGACTTCTGTGTCAAGTGGTGCCTGTCATTCAACAATAACACATACGGTGACGATGTGAGTAGTTGAAATCCCACAACTTTAAGACAGAAAAATTAGATACTACAAAACATCATTTGATATGATACATATGATGTGACATGATATTCCCATGACGCCGATTATGGAGAATACAAATTTATGGAATTTGATGCCATCTATTAGAGTTGCTGACGTTTCGAAGGAATGTACTCCCTCCATCTTTAGGGTCGATAAGCAAGTCAAGCTTGAAATTTCATTCAAAATCCCATCAAAGTTGAAACATCAGTAAATGCCCACCAAGATACACGACGTAACATTACGAAATATAGCATTTACACGACCGATGTTGTTTCACCGGACAATGGCTTTGTTAGCTGGGTGAGCAACTAGCAGTGTTCCTTGGCGTGGGTGAAAATGTTCTTAACTTGGAGCACAAGCGTTACTCATTGACTGTTAAAGCATTCTTAAATATCTCAAGGCATAAAATAATTTTCATCCGAAAAATATAACAACAAAATATGTAACATTTATAATTGCAAGCAGTAAGAAAAGTGAGTCAATTGGAATGCGCTCGTATAGCCAACTGCGCAAGAGTCCAGCACGTTAGTCTTTGAGCTAAACTACATTCAGTTACTTAATTTTAAATTTAAATTATCTAAATTGGACATTGTGACAGGAGATCTGCGGGAACAGCAGGCTGCAGTAGGGAGGTAGGCTTTATGAATTCTGTCTGGAACTGCTCCCATTAATTTATTACGCAGATGCAAGTAAGCCGAGTCTCCAGCCTCTTAATAATTGACAAGAAAGAAGAAGAAATAGGAGAAGAAAACTAAGAAAGAAAAGAGAACTGGGAGTGTGAATTAGATTTGTATACCTCAGGATGGGCAGGGGCGTGAAGCAGACCACTCACATCCAGCTAGGGCCGAGATCAAGAAAATGTGGATCTACACAACCACTCCTCCATATTTCATTATGGAGTAATGCTTAATTAGTTAAGCACAGGGAGAACTTTACTTTTATGCCTCAATATGGGAACTAGTGACGGGCTCTTATGAACACCGTAACATAATTTAGGGTTGGGTTTGACTAGCCGGTGGATTATCAGATTTCTAAGAAAGAATTTATTCTTTATATTTATATTTGGAATAAGGAAGAATTACCTGATCAATGAAGGAGTCTATTTTTATACCAGTTCACAAGAAAGGTGATCTTTTTTCCTTAGCACTACAGACCCAGTGGGCCTAGGCCTACCTCCACGAACTTCGCCGTTCACTTCGGTTTTTCTAGATCTTACACGTTCGGTAGGACTCCTTGGGCGGGTGATCAGCTCGTCGCAAGGCCTCTACCTGTACACAAACACAGAAAAACGCACACAAACATCAATGCTTTGAGTGGGATTCGAACCAACAATCCCGGCTTCCGAGCGAGTGAAGACAGTGCATGCCTTAGACCGCTCGGCTACCGTGACCGGCTAAGAAGGGTGAGAAACTGTAGTAATCATTGTGGGATATCACTGCTATCAACTCCATACAAAGTCCATACATAAGGAAATTATTGGGGATAATTAGTGTGGGTTTCGACATAACAGATCAACTACTGATCAAATCTTTTGCATTGTCAGATACTGGAGAAAAAATTGAGTACAATGAGACAGTACATCAGCTATTCGCAGACTTCAAGAAAGCCTACGATTCAGTTAGGAAGGAAGTATTGTACTATATTCTGATAGAGTTTGGGATACTCATGAATCTAGTGAGGCTGATTAAAATGTGTTTAAACGAAACGTATAGTAAAGCCCGTAAAGGTAAACATTGCTCTGATAATTTTCCTGTCTAGAACGGTCTAAAACAAGGAGATGCTTCATCGCCATTGTTTTTCAACTTTGCTTTAGAATAAGATATAAGTATATAAGGTATGCAGTCTACACAACAATGTTCTGTATTTTAAAAACAAAAAGGACACTACTGTATCAACAATTGCTTTTATTATGATTTTACAGACACAACATGTTTCGACCCTGTCACCGGGTCATAATCAGGAGTACAATGCTCAAGTTTCAGCTGCTGAATTGCAATTAATTATCATCTAATTCTTCAAATAAGGATCCTTATTGTGTCTTGAAAGTATTTAAATGCATAAATTAATGTATGCGTAATTTATGCATTTTATCCTCTATATGTTTAGCAAGTGTTTTATTGTGCGTCTTAATATTGGTTTGTGCATATTTTGGCGTTAAATTTAGTTCTAAGCAAGTTTCGTTTGAACTCAGATCAAAGAAGTTAACTACACGTATGATGTTATATAGCATTTATCTTATGAACAAAACACAATTCACACTCTCTTATGTACGATACATATTTTCAATGTTTGTTTTTGAACTTATTTTTACAATATCCAAAATGACTGTTTTAACCTCTCGTTATTCATATTCACCTCTTCTTATCTTAACGAAATAAATTGAACGTACAATAGACTGGTGGTTTCTGACCGCCAATACGACAATAAAAGACAAACCAATCTAACTGTTGGCTTTATTTAACTACTGATATGTTTCGTTCCACATTTAGGAACATCTTCAGGGAGTTTCATTAATTACGTCTCACGTTATTGAAATATCCTAATACGGAACCATATTAGCGTTAATCATTATAATCTTAATATACGTAATTATTACTAATATTATAAAAAAATAAAATTTTCTCGTCGTTAAACTATAAAAATTTATGTTATTTGTCTCGTATTACAGATGGTGTTTATCATCCGGGGTTCGCTGTTATGTTTATAAGTTTTAGGTGCTATTTATGTACAAAAAAGGAAAAAAATATTAAGTAAAGATATCCCTGTAACAGGCCGTGAGGCTTATAGGTTTGTGACATGTTGAGGTTCCCACATTTTCTAGAAAATCGGCTCATAGATGGCGGTAAGTTTATCAGCCCTACGCGCCGGCCACCCTTTACCCCCAAGAACATTCCAAGAATATTCCTGGTACTCATTTCTGTTAGAGGCTGAGTTGATCCCAGGGCCATAGTGCGGTTGCAAGGATTTGGTAAATTGAAAAAAATCCAGTGACCTCAACGGGATTCGATTCCACGATTTTCCGGCTTGTAGCATAAAGCCTCAACCAACTACGCTACCGCCTGCCCCCATTTATATACAATTTATATAAATTATTATCAATATTATTAGTTTTCATTTTTTTGTATATGTTTCTTCCTATCCTCTTGAATATGTCGTTACGATTGAGTTTTATGTCTCCCTTTACAGTGTGTTGTATACTTCTTTCGCGTGGACCTTTGTTTTGGCGTTGTTCCTTTTCCTTGTTTCAGTGTGGACAATAGAATGCAACATTTCAAAATTTCTCATCTTATTACACAAATTTCATTCTGCAGGTTATTCCACTTCTCCTGACAACGACAGACTTCTGAGCGGCACCCCACCTTCAGAATATCCTTGCTCCATGGCTCTTCCGACGATCATGTCTGTAACGCCGGAAGATTCGTCGGCAGGATCTCTACGCTCAAACCCTGAAGCACAGGAAGGCCATGCCAACATCACAACTACTGCCATGAAATATACTTCAGTTCCTCCAAGTGGAACCGGGGATGACGCAAAGTATAACGTCATGTTAGTCCTCATTGGTTTAGTATTTGGATTTATTTTATTTGTGATAGTTTGCTTCTGTTACGTTACTATAATCCGTTCAAAATGTCTAACATCAAGTACGAAAAGCAGGCAAAGAAAAGACAGCGAAGAAAGTGTAGTTTACGAGAACACGAATGCAAAACAAAATAAGAAAAGTAGGCAAAGAAAAGACAGTGAAGAAAATGCAGTTTGTCACAACACGCATACACACACAAATGTATGGAACGGGGATTCCGTGAAAACACATATGTATCGGCAATTACCTCAGCTTCCAGTGGAGGCAAATCCATCAGTCGACACAGCTGATGGAGAAGAAAATGGTTACTTGCTACCAATCTTACCTTTCCGGTATAGGTATGAGAATGAAATAAGAAACTTACCACCCGCACCTCCAGTGTTTCCTAGATATCTTGCAAATTTACCAGTTGAAGGAGAAGGATGTTACATATCAGTGATATCCGACGACGAAGCCCAACTTTTGCCACCAAGTTCACCGTGTGAAATTAGTCTTGATAGAAATTCGTCTGAAATATATGAAGAAGATGGTTACGTGCAACCGAGGCAAATTCGTAACATTTCTGTCGAGACCAGTTCGAGTGAAGCAGTCTCTCTGAAGAAACTGAAAAAAAATAAAGACAATAAACATCAGAAACCGGTGAGGATGAGTCCTGATATAACAACCCAGAGGGCGCCGAAAGGAAGCCAGGATATTTCAGAATGTAAGTCATGCAATGCTAAGGACGGATCCACCACTAACATAACAGAAATCGAGTCAGAAACTTCTAACAAAGCAAAGGACAAAATATATCGCAGTACACTTCAAATACAGCTGTCACCACCGACACAACCTAGACCTGTTTCCGTTAGTACCAGCAGGGCAACTGGACTTGCGTGTATACATACCGATTATTAACAAAAAAGTAAGACGTGTTAATATTTTCCTCAAAAGCAAATCTGAAGCCAACACATGACAGTTTCAGCTTAGAAGTTCAGTACCTGCCCTACCTAACACTAGGCGCTACAGCCCTGGATGAGCCTTGGCTTCCTCTGCAATCAGTCCCCACAACTAATGCGTGTTGCCACAGGAATGGATCTACGCATGATGACCCGAGGATGGTTGTTACGTTTCTGAACAAAATTCTTTTTACAGGATGAGGTTGTTATCCTCATGCCCAACTCCCAACCTGGAGGACCAGCGTATCGCTCTTAGTCTGGACTCTACCCTTTCCGGCATGGGTGACTCTACCGGTAGTTAAACTACCGCCGACATAGCTCTCCAGATCACAGATTCACACAAGCCCCAACATCACAAAGTGGAGACACTTTTCTGGGGTTGGAAATTCAGTGTGTCACTGAAACAGTGATCGGTAATGGCAGTGAGGCTACATTCGTACATAATTCAACTGGTAACTTTCGTAGCGAAGACTCTTTCATGTTGCAATATGTTAATTTGATTTGATTTAATATTTTAAAATATAGCTGTCCATTTGAAGTAACTGAGGGACAGTATTGTACATTACAGCTAAGAAAGGTAAAGCTACATCTCTGTAACAGGAAGTGAAGGCCCATAGGTTTGTGAGACGTCGAGGCTCCCATATTTTCTCTAGACAATCGGTTTACAGATGGCGGTACGGCTGTCAGCGTTAAGTGCCGGCCGCCCTTTACCCCCAGGAAGATTCCTGGTACTCATTTGTGTAAGAGGCTGTGTGGACCCCAGGGCCATGGTGCGGCTGGAAGGATTAGGTCAATTGAAAAATTCATTGACCTCATCTGGATTTGAACCCGCAAACTTCCGGCTTGTAGCATAGTGCCTCAAACAACTACGCTATATCTAAATTATGTATGGAGGTGCGTTATCGTGAGATAGTGACGTAGTTCTTTATGTCATTATTAGAAAGTTGGTGGATTCTATTTTCAGAAAAAAAGATTAAAAAAATTGCCATATCAGAGATGTTGTTCATCAAACAGGTTTTGCCGTCTGCTTCTTGTTGGTTTCTTACTAGGTTTAATCTTTGACCCTTAAAGTAGGGGCAGTCCGTTCGTACGATACTTCACTGGACTTCTACTGAAATACATGGCATTATCTCAGAAGACAGTGTTCTTCCAGGGATGTTCCTCTGTGCGGTTGCCTGCTGAAAGTATGACGCAAGCTCAACAACTTTTTAGNAACGTTGTGTTTTTTAATAGAAACTAGACTGTTTTTTAGAATAGACAAGATGATGGATAATGTCCAGCAAAATAATAATTGTAACAATTTACCATCATCACAAACTTTTAGATCTTAACTTTTTAGACAAGTTATAGGTATTTACCAGCGAGATGGGTTATAACAATATATTTCTACATTATAATGACAGAAACATCTGCCCTACAATCATCATGCCTATGAAGCACGAGCATGCTAATGAAGTATGAACCCATAAGAATCAAACACGTGCATTTCATAAGGTGTTTAAAAATTAGGTGGCAAATATTTGCTACATTTGATTCTAAAGGGATCTAACGATTTTGTATAATACTCAGAATTACTGGGGGTTTGGACTTTGTCTCTCATCCGGTATTTTAGAAACTAGAAAGCACAACGTTTCGGAAACTGGATCTGTTTCTGTCCTCAGGTCCAGTGATTGAGGTTAGTTCGTTCTAAGGGACCCAACAGAGTAGGTGTCTACCCTCTCACCTAAAGACGGAAAAAGATCCAGTTTCTGAAACGTCGTGTTCTGTAATTTTTAGAATTCCGGACGATGGGCAAAGTCCAAAAACCGAGTAATTCTGAGTTTGCTAGTTTGTATCCACATTAAATACGATCGTGGAGCCGTACTATTTCGCACGGCCTGTGGACTCAAGAGAAAAAATACATGGAATATTTAGTAAGATCTATTCGTAAAATATGCCTTTTGACAAGATTCGCCGAATTTTTAAAAAGTAAAATGTTAACATACGTATATTTTGGGCAATGGAAGGATGCTCTTGCACAAAAGCAATAGCCAAGTTGCATCCCCTGCTTTAGAACACAGTAACACCTGTTTTGACGGTAAGAACTCTGCATTCTGCCGACAGTGTTTTATTTATTTCTTATGATTCTCATAGTAAACAACGATTATTTAACTAGACATCATTAACCAGTTGATCTTGGTTATGGAGGCGTAATATGTTTCCTATGAGGTACGAACTGAAAGAATAAATGTTATTTAGATGAATTTTTATACCGTATAAATCCAAATGTAAGTGGTATTGGACAAGGGGATGCCGCGCGTAGGAAGTGTAAGAGGCAACTTGGCGGCAGTGAGGCCTGAGACCGTTCAGCTGACTAGCTGCAGTTTCAGAGTAGCTACATAAATTCAGGTGTGACCTGCTGCATAAGTCTTCATTGACAGGAAACCTCTGTATATCTCGTTGCTTAGTATAGTGCAGTGACAAAGGGAGCACAGAGTCCACAGTGACATGGACGCCGTGAAAGCGCGGATATACTCATGCTGGAACTGAGGTGAAAACAAACGTAGCGCCTACAGAGAAAGACCGACACCTCCTTCGTCGAAGAGAAGGCCCTATTTCGAAACATGTACATGTCTAGTAGAGAATAAAAATCTTGGTCATGATTCTCGAGGAGACTGAATCTGGGAATGACTGCGCTGGTGAAGCCCAGCAGCAATTTTACCGATCGACTTATGAGTACCGAGAAGCTGCAGAATTTCCGAGCTCTAGCAGTTTGTAAGATCAGGGAGCATCTCGGCTCCTGTGGTTCTTCTCAGTTACTTGTAAGCATACACAGTAGATCCGAGATAGTGACTGGGGGCTTTCTGTCATTTTACTCTGTCCCTCTGGGCAAATTTGGCGATGGTACCACAAATTATGAAGCAACTATTTCCTTCCACATTCCTTCCTGTTCACCAATTGTCCTATCATTCGACCTATACAATTTCACATATTAAAATATATTTAAGTAAACCATAAATAAATAGACAAATAAATAAATATGCAAAGAAGAGTTCAATATTCTGGGTTGCATCACAGTGTAGTTCAGTAGTTCGCCGACGTTTAGGAGCGTATCATGTTCATTTCCAGAGTCAAATTGTAGTATTTTGATACATGCCGGCTTCTTGCTTCTTTAAACCTGAAGATGGGGAGACGATACGTTGTTCTGAAATGTCGGTGGATTTGTACTAAACCACACGGCGTTACAACCCAGAAGATCGAGTACTTCATAGTTCGCTGCTGTGAGGACCTCAAATTCAAACTGAAAAGGTAGTTTTTATGATCTCGAACAAGTGGAGTTCTTTCTTCGGAATTATATTGATTGATTTTACGTGATTTAACGAAGATGCTTCGTTTCCAGAGATTATTCAGTGTCGAATGAGAGAAGCTGATCACAAACGATGAGTATGTAAGGAGTAGGAAGAATGTAGGTGTGACTTACTTCAAAGCACTTGGCGATATATATAAAATATTCATACAATTATTAAGTTACTGGACATTATCCAACTTCCTGTTTTTTTTTTCAGAACACACACCGTTGCGGAGACTGGATTGTCTTCGTCTTCAGGGGGAACTTACTCAGTTGGGCCCCATCGATAGAGCTAGTCCCTATCTCCGGACCGGAGATAGGGACTGGCTCTATCGAATGGGCCCAACTGAGTGGGTTGCACCTGAAGACGGCGACAGAATCCAGTCTCCTAGACGCTCTTATTTTAAATAAAAACAGGAAGATGGATAATGTCCAGAAATCAATAAATATATTGTGACGTGCCGCCTGAAGGTCGGAATATCGGAGTCAGAGCTGGCGTCCATTGCTGGACAACGCCTCGGTAGTCACGTTTCAGCTACAATAAGAACAGTGAATGCATCATTGTCTGGGTGACATTTGTAAACACGTTAACGCGACAACGCGTATATAGGCAGACCGCTACCACGGAAATGAAATCCAGAACTGTTCAAGGAGGTGTCTGCTACCCTAGCCGCCCAGCAGGTATAAATGAAGGCCAGTTCAGAAGCCAGAGGAAGAAGGCAGAAGTGAACTGGAGTACCTTCGAGAAGCAGACATCGTTCAAGCAAGCAGACGTCGAAGACCTTGTTTTGTATCTTATAGTTAAAGTAATTTGAGTGTGTTATAATTATCTGTAGTTCCGCCTGGTGAAATTTCCCTATAAACCGATTCATCTATTCCGAAGCCCATTAACTTCTTGTCGCGTTAGCAGGATACGTGACAGTAATAATATACCGTATTTACGCATGTATAGGCCGCACATTTTTTGCCAAAAATTGAAGAGGAAAACTGGGGTGCGGCTTATATTCGAAATATTCGAAATCAGACTTCATTTAAAAAAAATTAACGTTGCCAAATTTCGGAATAATTTCTACTCCTGAAATAATATTCCAAGAAAATTATTTTTTTCTATAATTTCTGTCTGAAAATTGTGCTGCGGCCTATACACGCACGCGGCCTATGCATGCGTAAATATGGTATTATTGTCACAGACCTCTACATCATAAAATGTTTAATTTGTCCTCCTCCTTATCATCATCCTTTGGCTCCCACTGGAACACAGGGCATTAACAAATTGTCGCTGTCTCACACGGTTCTTGCTGAGTTGTTTAATTTCTCCCCACGTCTTCCCAGCAACCAAGGCTTCCTCTCGTATTGTCTTCTGCTAACTTCTCTTTGGCCTTCCTCTTTTCCTTTGTCCTTGTGGGTTCCACCTCATATCCTCCTTCTGATTGCATTTTCCTTTCGAAGAGTATGGCCAGTCCAGTTCCATTTGCGTCTGGTTATCTGTTCAGTTATTTTTATTTAATTTGTCTGTTTCCACAGTTCCTCATTTGTTAATATAACTGGCCATCTCACCTTTACTATTCCTCGGAGGCATCGATTTACAAAAATTTGTAATTTTCTATATTTCCTGGATGACTTGCCATGTATCATATCCGTATAATAAAACTGATTTCTCATTAGAGTTGAAAATTCTTAGTTTTGTTCTTAATGGAATATCACGTGATTTAGTTTGTAGTTAAATATACGCATATTCCCCAGCACCAGTGAGGGGAAGAAAGCGTTTCTGGTCGGCGAGTCACTGTATGCCTAAAAA